GATTGATACAATGTTATGGTCCTTGAAGGTGAGATCCTCCGACATGATCACTCCCAGGTCTTTGACGTTGGTGTTTCGCTCTATTTTGTGGCCAGAATTTGTTTTGTACTCTGATGAAGATTTAATTTCCTCATGTTTACCATATCTGAGTAATTGAAATTTCTCATTGTTGAACTTCATATTGTTTTCTGCAGCCCACTGAAAGATTTGGTTGATGTCTGCCTGGAGCCTTGCAGTGTCTGCAATGGAAGACACTGTCATGCAGATTCGGGTGTCATCTGCAAAGGAAGACACGGTGCTGTGGCTGACATCCTTGTCTATGTCGGATATGAGGATGAGGAACAAGATGGGAGCGAGTACTGTGCCTTGTGGAACAGAGCTTTTCACCGTAGCTGCCTCAGACTTTACTCTGTTGACGACTACTCTCTGTGTTCTGTTAGTGAGGAAATTATAGATCCATCGACCGACTTTTCCTGTTATTCCTTTAGCACGCATTTTGTGCGCTATTACGCCATGGTCACACTTGTCGAAGGCTTTTGCAAAGTCTGTATATATTACATCTGCATTCTTTTTGTCTTCTAGGATAGAAATGTTAAAAAGCAGGTGGGGATATAGTTTTGGAGTGGTTGGTGTTATTATTTAATAAATGTATGGAAGAGGGTAAAGTACCTAGGGATTGGCAGAGAGCATGCATAGTTCCTTTGTATAAAGGCAAAGGGGACAAAAGAGAGTGCAAAAATTACAGGGGGATAAGTCTGTTGAGTATACCTGGTAAAGTGTATGGTAGAGTTATTGAAAGAATTAAGAGTAAGATGGAGAATAAAATAGCAGATGAACAAGGAGGCTTTAGGAAAGGTAGGGGGTGTGTGGACCAGGTGTTTACAGTGAAACATACAAGTGAACAGTATTTAGATAAGGCTAGAGGTTTTTGTGGCATTTATGGATTTGGAAAAGGCGTATGACAGGGTGGATAGGGGGGCAATGTGGCAGATGTTGCAGGTGTATGGTATGGGAGGTAGGTTACTGAAAGCAGTGAAGAGTTTTTACGAGAATAGTGAGGCTCAAGTTAGAGTATGTAGGAAAGAGGGAGATTATTTCCCAGTAAAAGTAGGCCTTAGACAAGGATGTGTGATGTCACCGTGGTTGTTTAATATATTTATAGATGGGGTTGTAAGAGAAGTAAATGTGAGGGTCTTGGCAAGAGGCATGGAGTTAAAAGATAAAGAATCACACAAAGTGGGAGTTGTCACAGTTGCTCTTTGCTGATGACACTGTGCTCTTGGGAGATTCTGAAGAGAAGTTGCAGAGGTTGGTGGATGAATTTGGTAGGGTATGTAAAACAAGAAAATTAAAAGTGAATACACGAAAGAGTAAGGTTATGAGGATAACAAAAAGATTAGGTGATGAAAGATTGGATATCAGATTGGAGGGAGAGAGTATGGAGGAGGTGAATGTATTCAGATATTTGGGAGTGGACATGTCAGTGGATGGATCTATGAAAGATGAGGTGAATTGATGAGGGGAAAAGGGTGAGCAGTGCACTTAGGAGTCTGTGGAGACAAAGAACTTTGTCCTTGGAGGCAAAGAGGGGAATGTATGAGTGTATAGTTTTACCAATGCTCTTATATGGGTGTGAAGCATGGGTGATGAATGTTGCAGTGAGGAGAAGGCTGGAAGCAGTGGAGATCCCATGTCTGAGGGCAATGTGTGGTGTGAATATAATGCAGAGAATTCGTAGTTTGGAGGTTAGGAGGAGGTGCGGGATTGCCAAAACTGTTGTCCAGAGGGCTGAGGAAGGGTTGTTGAGGTGATTCAGACATGTAGAGAGAATAGAGCAAAACAGAATGACTTCAAGAGTGTATCAGTCTGTAGTGGAAAGAAGGCGGGGTAGGGGTCGGCCTAGGAAAGGTTGGAGGGAGAGGGTAAAGGAGGTTTTGTGTGAGAGGGGCTTGGACTTCCAGCGGGCATGCGCGAGCGTGTTTGATAGGAGTGAATGGAGACAAATGGTTTTAAATACTTGACATGCTGTTGGAGTGTGAGCAAAGTAACATTTATGAAGGGATTCAGGGAAACTGGCAGGTCGTACTTGAGTCCTGGAGATGGGAAGTACAGTGTCTGCACTCTGAAGGAGGGATGTTAATGTTGCAGTTTAAAAACTGTAGTGTAAAGCACCCTTCTGGCAAGACAGTGATGGAGTGGATGATGGTGAGAGTTTTTCTTTTTCGGGCCACCCTGCCTTGGTGGGAATCGGCCAGTGCGCTAATAAGAAAAAAACAAATGCAAACTCTTCCACCCAACCAATCACAGCAGGAGTCCCACAAGGAAGCGTCCTTGGACCACTCCTCTTTCTCATCTGCATCAATGATCTACCGAATACATCACAGCTACTCAAACCCATATTATTTGCAGATGACACTACATATGTCTTTTCCCACCCAAACACAGTCCATGCTGAATTACAGGAAATATCTGCCTGGATGATGACTAACAAACTTACCCTATTTCATTCAGTTTGGAAACAAAGCTGCAAATGATCCAATTAACATAACGCTAAATGGATCATCAGTCACAAGACTCTCAGAGGGAAAATTCCTGGGTTTATCCACCTTGACAGTAGCCTTAAGTTCCGGACACACATACAACAAATCACCAAGAAAATCTCCAAGACTGTAGGCATACTATCAAAGATAAGGTACTACATTCCACAATCAGCTCTCCTGGCACTGTACCATACACTCATATACCTTTATATGTACATATGGAATTTGTGCATGGGGATCAACAACATCCAATCACCTAAAACCCCTCATAACCCAGCAAAAGGCAGCAGTAAGAATGATAAATTCCCCCTCCCGCCAGCATATCCACCAATTTTCAAAAGTCTGAATCTGCTCGCCATTAAGAACATCCATACTTATACATGTGCCTACTACATACACAGAACAATACATGCAAATATATACCCTCCACTTAAACTTCTCCTCACCAACCTAAACAGGACACATGACCACAACACAAGACACAGATCTCTTTTTGATATACCACTGTGTAAAAACTATGCACATAAAGGGCCCCAAAATATGGAATTCATTACCATAAGATATTTGGGAGTGGACGTGTCAGCAGATGGGTCTATGAAAGATGAGGTGAATCATAGAATTGATGAGGGAAAAAGAGTGAGTGGTGCACTTAGGAGTCTGTGGAGACAAAGAACTTTGTCCTTGGAGGCAAAGAGGGGAATGTATGAGAGTATAGTTTTACCAACACTCTTATATGGGTGTGAAGTATGGGTGATGAATGTTGCAGCGAGAAGGCTGGAGGCAGTGGAGATGTCATGTCTGAGGGCAATGTGGGTGTGAATATAATGCAGAGAATTCGTAGTTTGGAAGTTAGGAGGAGGGGGCGGGATTACCAAAACTGTTGTCCAGAGGGCTGAGGAAGGGTTGTTGAGGTGGTTGGGGACATGTTAGAGAGAATGGAGCGAAACAGAATGACTTCAAGAGTGTATCAGTCTGTATGGAAAGGGAAGGTGGGGTAGGGGTCGGCCTGGGAAAGGTTGGAGGGAGGGGGTAAAGGAGGTTTTGTGTGCGAGGGGCTTGGACTTCCAGCAGGCATGCGTGAGGGGTGTTTGAGAGGAGTGAATGAGACAAATGGTTTTTAATACTTGACGTGCTGTTGGAGTGTGAGCAAAGTAACATTTATGAAGGGATTCAGGGAAACCGGCAGGCCGGACTTGAGTCCTGGAGATGGGAAGTACAGTGCCTGCACTCTGAAGGAGGGGTGTTAATGTTGCAGTTTAAAAACTGTAGTGTAAAGCACCCTTCTGGCAAGACAGTGATGGAGTGAATGATGGTGAAAGTTTTTCTTTTTCGGGCCACCCTGCCTTGGTGGGAATCGGCCAGTGTGATAATAAATAATTAAAGTAACCCAGTCTGAAAATCAATTTAAGACTTCTCAAAAGCCACTTAATCACCTTAGACTAAATGCTAAATACTCAGTACACACATACTCATCTATGTACTCCCACATCATAACTGAAAATCACTTTGAACCTTTTATCCATTGTTGTCAGGAATATAATTGAATCAGTGTTTTCTCAAAAAGTATGTTTGAATATAAATATATCTTTGTATTATACAAATTTTGATTCATTCATAATTAATATTCTACTGTACAACTATGAAATAATTACTATCCTACTGTACAACTATGATATACTCCTTAGCGTTAAGTAGACTGTAAGCCAATAATGTTAATTGGCCCATAATGCCTAGGCAATATAGAGGCTCTCTGCATTGCAACCCACTACTGTAAATATAAAATCTCAATGTACTCTTTGCAAAGACAAAATAAATAAATAAATTGTGTACAATTATGTATTAATAAATTTAAATAAACATATAACATTTTTACTTACCTTTATTGAAGATTGGTGATGACATTTGGAAGATAGGGAGGAGGAAAGAGGGGGTTGGGGTTAGTGTTTGGAAGGGGAATCCTTCTCCATAAGGACTTTAGGTATCAAAGCCCTCTCTGGGGTTACTTCCCTTCTCTGTCTTAATGCCACTAGGACCAGCTTGAGAGTCATTGGACCCCTGTCTCACAAAATAACTGTCCATAGTCCTGTTTCTGGTGCCTTTAAGATTTCCCTAAAATAGGACATGGTTTTGTCACTGAACTTGTTGCAAAGATGGCTTGTTTCAGCTTGCTCAGGGTGGTACTTCTCCACAAACATTTGGACATCATTCCACTTGGCGCAAATCTCCTTAATCTTTGAAGAAGGCGGACAGGTCTGGTACCCGGAGGTTCAAAAACAGGGGCAAGTTCGATAATAGTGACAAAGTTGGTTTGAAAAAAGCGGTCGATTTTCGAAGAGTTCGATAAGCGATACGTTCGAAATTTGAGGTTCCACTGTAACAGATTATTACTGAAATTTTAAATGTTATTATTTTATTTTAAAAGCAACCAGTAGGATTCTTGGATAAATGTTAAATATGTAATTAATTTCAGAATATTTATTGTACAACATGGATTCCTATACTGTACAAACTTTATGGTTTTTCATTCTTATTATATGAAGGTAATGTACTCTTATGGTGATGAGGTGACCTTTTACTATGGGGTATGGAGTCACCTGATGATGGTACAATAGTTCTCATGTCAGTTGTATGGTGAGAGTGAGAAGTAATCCTTCACCAGCCACCAGTGGAATCTTGTCCAAGGAGACCTCAGATCTGAAGGAAGATAAACAACTCAACATTTCTAGTTTTAATAAATAGATCCTGAGTGAGAAATAACATACAGTGTACAATAACAGGAACATGAACAATGGATAAACGTCACATTACCTTGGATAACTCCCCAGAGAGAGATTCACACCGACTTTTTTTGGGGTTATCCTAGGTAATTTACACTATGTATGATCTACCGTAGTTCATAAACTCACATTTGTTAAAATAATTAAGGTGCTATTAGATGCTTAATTGTATAACTGAATTATCTGGACTGTAGTAATCCCTTTTTCTTTTAAATTTTTACAAGTTTAAGAATAATTACAGAGTCATATTCATAAGTCTAGTTGTAGATTCAATATAACTCTCATATTATTTTACTCAGAAAATCTAGTTTGTAAAATTACTCTCATCCTATGATGTAAACTTTTTACTAAATGAAATACACGAATCAAACAGTAACTGTAATTACTATACAGCAGACCAAGCAAAGACATTACTCAGTGCAAACAATAACATAACCATCTTTAACTACATTATGATGACCTCACTACATTACTCAATTCCCTTCATTCCAATATATCAATCATCACACTCACAGAAATCTGGCTTAAGCCTGATATTACAGATGTCTATACCATTCCTGGCTACATGGCCATGCACAACTGTAGAACAGACCAGCAAGGGGGAGGAACAGCTATATACTACTCAAATCAACTTGAATGCATTGATAAATCCTGCACAAGGGATGAACATGGAGAATATATCATAGCCAAATTTAAATCAAAAGACCTGCAAAAACCCCTCACAATTATAAACATATACAGAGTACCACAGTCAAACATTTACCACTTTAGTCAAAAAGTAGGAAACATGATTACTGATACATACATGAATAAAGACCACCTACTACTAACAGGAGATTTCAACATAAACATATTTTACACACCAGGACCCACAAGTAACCACATTCACAAACACAATGAGTAACTGCCTGTTGCTACCAGCAATATCTAAACCTACAAGAATCACTGAGACAAGCATCTCCTTAATAGACCACATCTGGACAAACACCATATCCCCTTTAAAATCAGGCATAATCACAGACAACATTACAGACCACTACCCACCTTTCTTATAACTAATCTGGGCAAACTGCCACAAGACATCACTAAAGTAACTTTCAGACTACATAACGAGACAGCAGTTAACAACTTTATAGCATCTATGAATAACATCGATTGGCAAAATGAGCTCAAAACATATACAGATATGAATGAATGTACAGTATAAATAATTTTCTAAAAAAAGCCCAAAGCCTCTATAACAAACATTGCCCCCCAAAAACTAAACAGATCACAGCAAAGAGACTGAATAATCCCTGGCTAAAACCAAGCATCCTGAAATCCATTAACACAAAGCACAAATACGAAAACAGTATAGAATGGGTCAAATAACTAGTGAACAGTCTAAACGTTACTCGTCAGCATTTACCAGCCTGATAAGATGATCTACAAAATTGTATTACGAAAATAGACTACATAACATCAAAGGTGATATGAAAAAAAACTGGAACTCTCTTTCTGAAATTTTTGGAAATAAAATGTTATCCAAAAACAAAACAATCAAACTAACAAAATCAGATGAACCCCTACTCACACCTACTGAAACAGCAAACAGACTCAATGTTTTCTTCTCCACCATAGGTAAAAATCTAGCGAACAAAATACCAAGTGTAAACACTTGTCCATCAGACTAGCTCCAACCAACCCCATAGAAGTTACACTCATCATAAACACCCTTAAAAGCAAGGCAGGAGAAATAAACAGCTTGCCTGCTTTTATGTACAAAAAAGCTTCTCAAGTATTGTCACCAATTATTGCAACGCTCTTTAACAAATCCATTGAATCAGCTACCTTCCCAACAATCCTCAAAATAGGGAGGGTCACTCTTATCCACAAAGGAGGTGACCAAGCTGACTTGAATAACTATAGACCAATATCTAACTTACCACTGCTCTCTAAAATCTTTGAAAAATTAATGCATAGACGGATTATTCCTACCTCGTCTCACACAACATATCAAACTCTTGTCAGTTTGGATTCAGGAATAATAAAAGCACGAATGATACTATCGTACACATGCTAGAACTAATATATACCACACTTCAAAAGAAAGAAGCCCCGCTGGGCATTTTCATTGATTTACGTAAAGCTTTCGATACAATCGACCATGAACTGCTGTACTCCAAATTAACGCACTATGGTATCAGAGGCCACGCCCTCAACTACCTAAAATCATACCTTAGTAACAGAACTCAATATGTGTATGCAAATGATACAAACTCTTCCACCCAACCAATCACAGTAGGAGTCCCACAAGGAAGCATCCTTGGACCACTCCTCTTTCTCATGTACATCAATGATCTACTGAATGCATCACAGCTACTCAAACCCATATTATTTGCAGATGACACTACATATGTCTTTTCCCACCCAAACACAGTTCATACCAGCAAACAAAGTCAATGCTGAATTGCAGAAAATATCTGCCTGGATGATGACTAATAAACTTACCCTGAATACTGATAAAACCTATTTCATTCAGTTTGGAAACAAAGCTGCAAATGATCCAATTAACATAACACTAAATGAATCATCAGTCACAAGACTCTCAGAGGGAAAATTCCTAGGTATCCACCTTGACAGTAGCCTTAAGTTCCGGACACACATACAACAAATCACCAAGAAATTCTCCAAGACTGTAGGCATACTATCAAAGATAAGGTACTACGTTTCACAATCAGCTCTCCTGGCACTGTACCATACACTCGTATACCTTTATCTTACATATGAATTTGTGCATGGGGATCAACAACATCCAATCACCTAAAACCCCTCATAACCCAGCAAAAGGCAGCAGTAAGAATAGCAAATTCCCACTCCCGCCAGCACACTCCACCAATTTTCAAAAGTCTGAATCTGCTCACCATTAAGAACATCCATAGTTATTCATGTGCCTACTACATACACAGAACAATACACACAAATATAAACCCTCCACTCAAACTTCTCACCAACTTAAACAGGACACATGACCACAGTAAGCCAATAATGTTAAGTTGGCCCATAATGCCTAGGCATAATAGAGGCTCTCTTTGCATTGCAACCCACTATTGTAAATATAAAATCTCAATGTACTGTTTGCAAAGACATAAAATAAATAAATAAAAAAAATTATACTTGTAAACTTAAACTTATTTACTTACAAGACAAATAACTGACAAAGACTACAAGAACAATAACAGGGACAAACATATTACAAGTGCAACAATAGGAACAATTATTATAATCAAAAGAAGCGCTAAACTGCAAGGGTTATACAGCACAGCAGGGCAGGGAAGGATGCAGGGCAAGAGGGAGAGGGAGGATTATTAGGGTATGGAGTGCAGCAGGGCAGTGGATACTGAAGGGGGTAGAGGGTAGCAAGTGATTAAGGTAAAAAGGACAGAGGAGAGTGCTAGAGGCATCATCATCATCATCAGAGTTTATGTAGTAAATCAGTCACTGTCAAAAAGTCAATGAGAGTCTGGATTAAAGGAGGGTCCATCAGCAAGAAGGGAAGGTAAAGAAAGGGCAGAAGAGCGGAGATGACATTGGAGGTAAATTCTGCGCACTTGTTGATAGAGTGAACAGTCCAACAGAATGTGGCTAACAGATACTGGAACATGACAATTCTCACAGAGAGGAACAGGGGGCCTCTCCAAGAGATACCCGTGAGCAAGACGAGTGTGGCCGATGTGAAGGTAGGAGTAGTCTCCCAACCGCGATATTGATGACAAGAAGACGGCCAGAAACCTATACTCGGTTTAATAGAATGAAGTGTGTTAGGGAGCAAATCAGACCAACATTGTTGCCAATGGGTGTGAAGGTGGGTAGCAATTTCAGCAAAATAGTCTGTGAATGGAACACCTCTATATGAAACTGGAAGGTCATGTACCACTGACTGCACAGCAGTGTCTGCCTGTTCATTGCCCTGTACATCAACATGACCAGGGACCCAGCAAAAAACACTATCTTTGTGTTTGCTAGAGATACAGCGTAGCCAAAGTTGAATACGAAGAACTAGGGGGTGAGGTGTATCAAATTTTCATGTAGCCTGTAAAGCACTAAGAGTGTCTGAAATGACCACAAATGGTGACATAGGCATAGATGTTATACAGATAAGTGCTACAAGAATGGCATACAATTCAGCCATAAAAGTGCTAGCCGAGGATAAATGTCCTTGCACTGTCTGGAAACACTGCTGCAAATCCGACGCCGTCAGAAGACTTAGAGCCATCGGTGTACACTGCGATGGCATGAGAATGAGAGTGAAGTGTTCAAGAAAAAGAGCAGGAAGCCTCCATAGGGAGTTGGGCTTTTGCGCATGGCAGTGGGAAAGAAGAGACTCAAACAGCTGGAACTTCCCAAGGGGGCAGGGAAAAGTGAGATGCTACATGAACATAGAAAGGTGGTAACTGAAGAGAATACAAGAGCGAATGGAGGCAGAGAGAAAAGGGGGCAGAGTAAGCAGGGGTGACGAACAAACAAAGAATGTCTACTAATATCAGTGACCATCCTATATATGAAAGGAGACTGATACAAGGCATTAAACTACAGGCCAGTGTCACTGACATATAATATGCAAAGTCATGGAGAAGATTATCATTTTTTTACTTTTTATTGTGCAATAAACTGCTCAACTTATTTAATATTACAAATCAGATCTTACTCCTAAACCAATATTATTTCATAGTGACTATCTGTCCATATAACTTTGTTTACCATTACTTAATTTTAGTCCCTTATATATTTTCTCCTTTATTTTAGCTTTATATAACTACCCTAGTTCATATATTCACAACTGTTAAAATAATCAAGGTGCTATTCTCAGGTGCTAAAGTAGAATAAGTTCACAATTTTGCCATTATATTCCAAAGCTCATTTATTTGATTACCACTT